TATCGCATTCTGTAGGGATACAGAGGAATGTTCTGGAAATTATACCCTATATAGAGGAAGCTATGGGCTACAATCTGAGATAATTTGATTCGAAATGACATTGAGACTCTTGGGAACGCGTCATCCAAGAAGATATCGACCAAGAGAGTATATGAAAAAAAGTCATGACTCCAATGAATCTTATGCGGATAGATGTCCCCCAGCTTGCTCTATCGAACGGTGAAAACCACAGCTCGATAGCTTGAAGTGATCAAAAGTTATTCACAAAATGCTGGTTAACACTATAAAAAAAATCCGGCATTAGTAACTAGTTACTATGGTAGTTACTCGTAACTAGTAACTATGATAGTCACTGGGGTTACTAGTAACTAGCCACTATTGTAGTTACCTAGTTACTAGTAAAGTACATGTAAAGTGCCATCCCTAATTTGAGCAATCTTGCGAGCATGCAACATGATCAACTTTCAGAGCATTGTATTTTTAAATTAATTTTCGTTTCTGTTCATTAGTAAGACACTGTTCAAAAGCTTTAAAGGATCGTGTCCTGCACAGTCATGTGCACTTCACTAGAACATGAGTTCTTCATAAATATAAAAAATTAGGATAGTAAGATGCGTGTTTTGAAATTTGAAAAAAATAATGCTTATTGTGATGCTACAAGACTTCGTTGTAAAAAATCTTCAACATACTAAAAAAATAGAGCTTCAAATGTTATATAATTTGAATAGTTTTATTTGTCATTATAGCTGAGTATTAGAACGAATAAATACAAGAGAACCACAGTTTATGCTTTGAAAGTCATTAATATTGTATTCTGTTACGATATTTATTAATCCTTAAAGAACAATCCCTTTTTTTAATTTTTCGAAAAGAAAATGATTATTTATGATGTCCAGCAGTAATTATTACATACACCAATGGTGCAACGTAGAAGAGAAACCGCATACACTTACATTGGTGATATTGACGACCAAATAAACAAAACAGATGATTCTACTCTTCCTTTTTGCATCTCATTTTTTCAATTCAACATTTGATTGTTATGCAAATATCTATTTACCATCTAATGATTCCTCCTTTAATTAGGATCAAATCGCGATTGTGGTATGTATTAGAGAGCTGAAACTTTCAGAAATAAAAAATCTTGATTAGATATATATGTGATAAAAATTTCAACCTTCTACGTAAAGAAGTCCTTTAAAAGTTCAGTATGGAGACGAACCCTTTATATTACATGTTGTACTCACTGAGCTCTACAAAATGGTTAATTCCAGATTCGAAACGACGATTAACACTTAAAGAGGTTCCCTGATTAGGCGAAAAACTTACATAGCTATATAGAAAAACATTTTCACGCGGCAGAAAATTTTTTGATCACGATGAGCCTTCTCCTCCACCCCTCACAGGCAATTCCTTAGTGCATGCCTATACTCGTTTTTATAAATATGTTCTCGTTTTTTCTGATTCTAATCTTCAGATACAATAGTCTTCTTTGTATTGAAAACCAATGACACAATTGTGAAGATTGACCATATTTTATTCACGATGAAGCAAATTTTCCGTTACAAAAGCAAAAGAGAAATGATAACGAAATAAGAATAGAAAATATTTCTGTTTGTTATCCATGAATAGTCCTTAGCATTATCAAGTGCATCGACAAATAGGCGGGAAAAGATCATCACAATAACCACCATAATATCCACATCCCCTGCAACGGCTGACGCATGCACTATTGCCTCCAGCACATGTGCCCATCGAGAAACCACATTGAGCAGAAACTGCGACTGGAAAAACAAAAAATAGTACAATGCAATTAATATATAAATTATCTACATACTGCTTAAGGTGAAGATGATGGTGAGCGCAAGTACAATCACAATCCGAAAGCGAGTCATGTTGAAATATCGACTAGTGAATGATTATCGTATTTATATTGTACAGCTCGGAAATCTGGCATTCTCCGATTCATTATCTTTATAGTCATATTGACGTCATCGTATTGTGACACATGCATGACATCTGTATGTTTTTCTCATACAATGGTCTATATGATTCAATCTGAGTTTTATAAAATGCATTCGATTTCGAACTGGAATGTGATCTAGGAGGCTTTAGATTTAATCATTACTATACACAAGTGAATTTCAAAATTATTGTACCGTTTTGTGATAAAAATGAACAAAAACATTTTTTTGATTTCGAAAACATTGATTAGTACATTTTATAGTACTATATCAGATAGGATATAAATGAAATTTTTCGACTGTCACTAAGAAATTAGTCGAGATACGAGAGTTTTTTTCACAAATATTTTTTAAATTCAAGGTCAAATGACTTTGATAACACACTTCTCAGTTGAATATTTCGGTCAGATAAAAAGGCTTAAATTTATGTTATGTTTATGCATACAATGTGTGTATTGCTTTGTTGCACGAGTGACACTTCTGGTAATCACAATGATCTCCTTCCTAATTAGTGACTGTTATATTTTAATCACTATTTCAATTCATCGCCCTTATGGGTTCTTCTTTTAGCAGTGGACGTCGATTGCAGTGTGCATTTTTTCTCATAGCAGACGAAGATGTGAATTTCTTTCGTGGAAATCGATATTTTTTTCTTAGAAGTAATTAAATAATTCGGCGAAGAATACCTGAGAAGTGTCTTTGCCATCATTTTTCCGACAAAATATTTTTCTTATAAACTATTTTGGGCTGATTGTGTCGATGTATTATATACAGAAGAATATTTCTACAAAGTTTCATACAATTTGAATCTGTGGAAACTCACTATTAAGAACGAGTTTATAATTATTCTATCATGTAGGAACTATGTTGAATATCGCAAATATTAATATTTTAGCTGCCATTGTGTAGGTCTGAAAAGCTTTGCATCTAATTTCATTTGTTCTCTTTTGTATGATTTGCAAGAAACATGTGTTTCCAGGAGGAAGAATTGGAAATTATTCATTTATAAAGCCGTTTGCTGAAAAAAAAACCATGCTTCTTGCAAATTTTAAAAAAGTGAACACATGAAATGAGATGCTGAGCTTTTCATGAAAACTTGATCTAATGAAAAAATTAAAAAAATGAATGTGTAGAAAGTTCATCAATAATCTGCTTTTATGGAGCTTACATATAAAAATGTGAGCGTAAGTTACAAGTCGAAGTTTTCCGGCGCCTCACCTTTTCCCTACTGACAGACCTTCCTCACGGACAGATGTTCTTGATTACCATCAAGCACGACATAATCAATGATTGCTGTAGTTTGCAATTGTTCTACTTCACCTAAACCTTCGCTGGAAACGAATATTTATAAAACTATAATAATACCATCTATTTATTTTCAGCTTTACCTTCATTCTATACTCTGCTAGACTTTGATAAATCGAATTCTTTTAGAAGTCTTTTTTTTGCGAATTACTTTGTAACTCATCTACGTGATCAGCTGAATTTGAAAATGATCAATTAAAATTAATTAGCAAGAATTTGATTATCTTTATACAATGCTTTTTAAGTGACAGAAGAGAAATATTTTGTATTTATTATGAAATCATATTTTTCTTTTGAAATAAATAGCAATTTAAATCTAAGAAAAATTTAATATATAAATAAAATAGGTAAATAAGTGACCAAAATTTTTATTCAATACTCTTCTTAGTTCTTTTATTTTTATTTTTAGATGATTTCGATCAAATCGATGTTTCGAACTCTCATAAGTTCATTTACGAGAAAGCTTCAAAATAAAAATAAAAGATCGTGTACGTTGTTCGTGACACATCTACAGCAATTGATCTTGGTTTCTCGTAAATCAACTTATAAGAGTTCGAAACGTCGAATTTATCGAAATCATCTAAAAATAAAATAAAAGAACTAAAAAAGATGACTGAATAAAAATTCTAGCCACTTATTTATCTATTTTATTTATATTACTAACAAAGCGTTGATAGGAGTAATTTATACGCTAAGTTTATTGAGTATGTCAATATAACATACAGAAATTGGCTGTAGTATGGTGAATCTTCACCACAGTACATGGAAGTGTTGGGAAACTATTATTCTTATATACACTTGACATCGCTCTATTACATACAACACTTGCTTTTCCTGTACCATTAAGTTTATGTTTTTGAAAATTTTTTCACCAACCATACAATGGGCACACTCTTCACTCATATACGTTCCGAGAGTCTCATGTGTAGACCCCGTCGGGTCCAAAATTTTTGGACCCGAACCCGGACCTGTTTACAATTTGCTACACTTGTACCCGGACCCGGACCCGCTTGTTTAAAAAAGGTTGGACCCGGACCCGACCCGGACCCGCTTGTTTAAAAAAAGTCGGATCCGGATCCGACCCGGACCCGGCCGCTTAAATTTTTTGGATCCAACCACGATGATAAATCAGTTTCGATAATATATTCAAAAAGCCTTTCGTTGCTTTTTTGTATATTTTCTAAATACATTCAATTTTTTTCTTCATGAAACGAACAAAACTTTGAAAAAATTCACAATACATTGTATGCATCAAAGTTTTCTTCAGATCTGGACCCGACCCGAACCCGGTCACAAAAAAATTTCAGACCCGGAACCCGACCCGGACCCGGCCAAAACGAAATTTTTAGACCCGAACCCGGACCCGGACCCGAGCGGGTCCGGGTCGGGTACGGGTCCGGGTCCTACCCGACGGGCTCTACTCATGTGTTTCATAGTGTGTAAATACGCAGTACTTTCGTCGACATGTACATACTCATTTCTTCACGTTTTGCACCATACTTCAGCTTTTGTGAAACGCGATCTAAAAGGAGTGTTGAAGCATTTAGGAGTAGAAATTTGGATCCAGCCTTCCCTCCCCTATAGACCATCACCGACAGAGCATCCACAGATCATAAAAAAAAGTCCAATCAGAATATAGCAAAGGATATTTGAAAATATATAAAATAGCTCACTACAATTATTTTGAAAAAACTTTTAGATTAGAAATGTGTGACGAAAAAAAAGAATATTTTAACTAAATAACCGATCAATTGAACCCACTGCTGAATTGATACCAACCCCAATCACGACCATTTTTCCTGAACCTATTTTCACATCTGTATCAGCAAGTAATATATCACCAATTGGTTTATTCACCAAGTCTGTTTCACCTAAACAAAATATTCTCATTCAATATAGAAATTTATGCAAATCTCTCATACCTGTTAATGGTGATTCATCTATTTTGAGACTATCGGATTCAATTGCTAAACCATCACCTGGAATTCGATCACCTTCATTAAATATAAAATATTATTTTTAGACCGATAGCAATCTGTTGTATGATTATCAGATGAATAATAACTTACCGATTCTAAGTGGACATATATCACCAACAACTAATTCAACAATTGGAATATGTTGAACTTTTCCATTTCTTAGAACAGTTGCTTGTCGATTCAAATCTGTACGTGAATATCGATTTTCACCGAAAGTAGAACGACGTTCTGCTAAATCAGTTTTATCTGATTCATTGAGACCTTGACTAACATTTGAAACACGAAGTTTTCTTAACAAACCTTCAATTTCGCCATGTGAAGACAAAATTCGATCTCGTTCTCGAAAATCACGACCACGACTTTCAGCAAGTTCAGCAAGTTGTTCTTTCGTTACAGTAAATGAGGAACCAGGTGTTGACATTTGAAGAAATATTTCGTCAATTTATGTTTTTTTTGAATAAGAAATGGTTGCCTGTTTAAGAGATGATAAAGAATAAGATAAGAATATTTGCACTAATATTTACTTTTACTCATCATTTCTAATAAAGAAAAAGAACGATGATATCAATGAGTATGTATTCACACAAGACATTATCATTGTGATTCACAATTGAAAAAGAATTGATGCATAAAATGTAAGGAACAAGACAAATATCAATGTTCTTTTTCATTTAATAGAAATTACGATTTTTCTCAACCCAGAAAAGAAAAGGAAAAAAACCGATCCGTAGCATTGTGAATGATGGTATGATGAATCTAATGAGATAAAATATTTGACTCCATCACTCACGTCGAAAAACTACATAGGTTTACCTAATCGACCTATACGTATCTCATTCGGTGAGATTGAAAGCTCTATCCACAATGTTGCATCGAATTATACTGTCTCGTCAATATAATTAGTATTATTATTGGAATTGTTTTCGGACTGACGATTAATATTCAGTCTTTTTCTTATTTTTCATTTTCTTCAATAAATCAAACAGATTTTCAACGAATACAAATGCGGCAAAAATTATTAGTGTAATTCTAGTGCTAATAGAACGTTTTCAATGTTTGTTTCCTAGGTTTTGCATGCAATTTGATTGATGGCTATCTGTTGCTATAAAAAAAGAGCTACCGGCAAAATCTTGACGATATGGCAATTTATTGAAATGTAAACACTCAACTTTGTACGAAAATTGCAAACATTATTCTGTATCGGTGAGGGTGTGGGTGTGGGTGTGGGTGGGTGTGAGTGTAGGGGTGTGGGTATTTCCATCATTAACACCCTCACCCACACCCACACCCACACACCCACACCCACACACCCACACCCACACCCACACACCCACACCCACACCCACACACCCACACCCAACCTTTCGCCAAACGGCGCCTGAAGTGGATTGGAGCGTATTTTACTAATATCCTTACTGTTGTCGGGTAACGGTCTGGGAACGGTAACTCACCACCCCTACTCATTGTAGTCAAATAATGGCAATCAGTCATACCAATGCAATTTTACTGACGGTTTCTTCCAACTTGCTCAAGTGTTGTGTAAGCTAGACGAACGCGTTATTTGTCAAACATCTTTTTTTCGTTTTTCTTTTTGAATTCTTTTCATCCACACACTCTTTTTGAAAGAAACATAAAAGCTGTTAGCGCAATCCCTTGCGGGATTAAAAATGTGAAACACGATACAGCTACTATAGTCGATGTTCTAAAGCTGTTGTTTTTTATGCATACTGATGTACATTTCTTCATAATGGTTTGCCTTACATTATAGACTTTCAATAGGATAATACTCCATATATGCTTCAAGCATATGTGAGTTATGCATCATTTCTGATATTTCCTTGAAGTCTTCTACCACAGTCTATAATGATCCCTGAGTCCTGGCTGTCATCGTCTGTGACGGGTCCAAAGTCTGTCTGTCACGGTCTGTGATGGGTCCAGAACCCTGTCTGTCACGGTCTGTGATGGGTCCAGACCCTGTCTGTCACGGTCTGTGATGGGCCCAGAGCCCTGCCTGTCACGGTTTGTGATGGGTCCAGAACCCTGTCTGTCACGGTCTGTGATGGGTCCAGAGCCCTGTCTGTCACGGTTTGTGATGGGTCCAGACGCTGTCTGTCACGGTTTGTGATGGGTCCAGAACCCTGTCTGTCACGATTTGTGATGGGTCCAGAACCCTGTCTGTCACGGTCTGTGATGGGTCCAGAGCCCTGTCTGTCACGGTTTGTGATAGGTCCAGAACCCTGTCTGTCACGGTCTGTGATGGGTTCAAAGCCTGTCTGTCACGGTCTGTGATGGGTCACGTGTGTGCCTGTCACGGTGTGTGAGGGGGGGGGGGGGGGGGGGGGGGGGGGGGTGGGTCCAAAATTCTACCCCTAAACACTTCAACACTCCTTTCAGATCGTGTTTCACAAAAAGTAACAGTAAAATATTGTAGGTAAACAGCACTGCTATGTCTTTTTTCTTTCTTTCCTCTTTTTTTTCAGCGAGACAACAACGCCACCATATGACAGCAGAACGGAACAAAAGAATAATCCTCTGGAAGGAATCGAATTCATGTCTTCTGCTTTCCAGACTGTTATACTACTAATATACTAGAAAGGAGTATTTATTATTCGTTTCGTTCCGTCTTGTAATTGAAGGGGAACAATTCTATTACAGCAAGCACAAGATAATAGATTGTAAACAAGAAGAAAAAAAATATTTGCAGAGAGAAATTCATTTTATAGATATTTTACATGCCAACCTTTATTTCTGTACTATATACAATAGTTGACATCGTTTGATAATGAACAATAATTAATAAATATGAGCCTTAAGAGAAACCTGTATGAAAATCTGATTGTAGACGAAAAGTAGACTACAAGTATTTTAAAAATGATTTCATAGTTTATTTCATACTCGGATACATGAGACTTACATGATTCTAAATATCAGACAATTTTTTCTGTAAATTGATAAGAAAAAGTAACAATTTTCAATAGAATTACTAATTTTCGAGTTCAATTAATTGTTTTCTTCAATGAAGAAAAGAAAGGAATGAAAAATTTGTTTCATTTAGAGATATTAGTAGCTGATTTTTCGCCGTCGCTGCCACCTATCGAGTGAAAGGTTCCAGTTTACAATTCTTCTCTTTCTAAACCATCACTTGTTGATAATAATCAGTAACATCTCAATTTTGATCTATCTGACAATTAGAGATTGCTGAAACCAAGAGAACTTTTAAAATATAGAAATTTGTGTATTTTTTCTTGGATGACATATGACCTGATAACCAAACTGATAAGCAAAGATGTATCCTTGTGATTTTGTGACACCAAAAGATTTAGTCAAATATGGGTGTGGGGTGTGGGTAGGGGTGGGTGTGGGTAGGGGTGGGTGTGGGTAGGGGTGGGTGTGGGTAGGGGTGGGTGTGGGTAGGGGTGGGTGTGGGTAGGGGTGGGTGTGGGTGTAAGTGTGATCCTTAATA